ACTGCGAAACTCCATAAAGAGTGATGGATGTTGATGGAGACACAGGGTAGTGATTATGGATCATCGCAGAGATTCGAGGAAGGACGCAGACAGACAGACGGAAACTGAGAAAAGAGGGAGACTCCTGCAGCCTTACAATGGTTAAAGACTGGATTTAATCTGTTTCTTCTAGATGGAGCTGTTGCGCCACTGAGTGGTGAAATGTATAACTGCTACCACTAAGGTTATTACGAAAATATATACAATATTTCGAATTGAAACTTTCATATAACATTCAAATTGTTACAGGAAAAACATTGATACTCTGTATTAATTGAATGGATGTTTTAATTTTCCTCTTAAAATGATTTGAGATCATTGAGTCAGTGTTCTTATGCTCGAGGGCACTTTAGAAGACCGGTTTGCAAAAACTGCTAAATTTGTCTTGGAAGAAAGTAAAGTGTCCTTTATACTTTGCCATATTCAAGTCACATTTTTGATTATCAACCACTGTCTTTTTGGCTTGTCATGATATGAGTGATTTCAAACACAATACTGCATAATGCAGCAGAATGGTCCCTGTCATAGTTATATAATTATATTTACATTAAAGGTCCCATGTCATGCTTTTCCGGTTATTACCCGTCCCCTTGTGTGTTATGAAGGTTTTTCTGCATGTAAACGGTCTGCAGAGTCACAAATCCTCAAAGTACACCCTGTAGCGAGTAAAACTCTAACACAGAAAAGACCTGTCTATGCTGCCCCAGAACGCTTCATTGGAGATTTCTCTTTTTCTTCCTGGGTACAGTGACGTGCCCATACCCAAATGGACCAATCCGTGGACTTCCTCACACACACACACACTCAATCTTTGTGTTGTGAGTCTGTGTGTGAGCACACACACAAACTCCCAGCCAGGCTGCGGGTGTGTGTGTGTGTTCGGGCTGGTTTCGGGCTGGGTTTCGCTGTGTCTCGCTGTCTCGCAGACGGCCACTGGGCTCATAGGGAGGGGGGGGGGGGCAGGAGCTCCAACAAGCCGTTTAGGACAGAGCGTGAATACACATACTATACAGAGATGCAGTATGAGAAACCAATGTGATTTTGGAAAATTGCACAATATAAATCTATTCTAGTATACCTCAACAATGGAATTATGATCAGTAGAAATGGCCATGACATGGGACCTTTAACAAACTAATATTTGTGTGGGTAATCACACACATCCAATCCTTTAGGGTGCCAAGCCAAACATGCCAAATCTACAGCTGTCAAGCAAATATAGTAATAAAGTTCAATATTTCCCTCTGAAATGTAGTGGAGTACAACATGAATACAAAACTACTGGAACTACTTAATTTAAGAAAAAGGATGAGCAAAAAAGCCAAAAGTGACATTAACAGAAGAATATGAATGGATAAAAGTAAGAAGAAAAGTGATTTAAACAACACTGAATCTGCGGTGTGACATTCCCAGACTGAGTGTTCCAGAGGGAGGCCCTGAGAGCAGAACGTCTGTTCAACTTAAGTCTCAAACTGGGGCTGAGGGAGGTTAGAAGACCCTGCCCGAGGAGCTCCCCATGCTCGCTGGCTCACAAAATGTCTGCAATTTAGCTATTGCATGTGACTAAGGTTTCCTGAAGGGAACAAGTACATCACTGGTATGGGATAGGCTGAAGCCTTTTAATCACATCTGACAAGTGAATGGGTGTAGAATACATCAGGGGAAAGTCTCGCCCTTCTCTTGGTCATATATCTAAAGTGATGCAATTTTTTCTTTGCATTTCTCTTTTTCTGCACTGTTCTTGACGAGTGGTTCCGCCCAAAGGCTCAGAAACACTGACTGAGTGTTTCATTACTCTGTGAGGCTTGATTGTAATGCAGATCCCACTTACTCTTTTTGGTTCGCATTTTTCAATCATTACAGTGATGGATTCAGTTCTTAAAATAAAACTCTATACTATAGCGACACACTAAATATGAAACTGCTTCACCTGTAGTGAGGACTAAGGCAACAAAAAGCATGTGAATACATACAAAACATCATTTTAAAGTGGATTGAAGGGTATTGAGATGGATGTCTGTGTTTTTTATGCTATTTTCTTTTAAATGGAATCATCGCCTTGAGGTGTATTTTCAGCTGCTGTCATGAGACAGACCTTTTCATCAGAGTTGACAACGCCCAAGAGGGGTTTAAGACCGTCTGACAGACAGGAAGCAAGAGATGAGGAGTCATCTGTGTACAGGGAGAGGAGTCATGGATAGAGCCCACATCTCTCTCAGTGAAACGGCACAGACAGGTGGGGTCACGGTAAAAACAGGAAGCCTAATAATATACAGCAGCAGATTTATGAAGAGATGTTGCACTGGGACATTTGCCCACAGACCACTTTCAGGATGATGTTGCTGAATTTACAGCTAATGCGTATATTCTATGTATATTTATAGTGTGATGGCAGAGTTACTGAGGTTACAGGAGTTCTTTGGACAAATTATGGGACCATGTTGACACAGCAGACACTTCACCCTCAAGGGCAGGCCGGCCGCAGCAGGTCGAGGAGTGAGGCTGTAAAACATGAGATATAAGAAAAGATACAAGGACTTCATTAAGATGGAGGTCAGTAACACTGGCCTGAACTCGTGGAGGCAGGGGAGCATAACCTTCCTCAGCACAGTGATTCAAGTAGGTTAGGATGTCTTCAGGGACAAACAGTGGTTAAATATCACTGATGAAATGTCACTGTGACTGTTGTGGATTTGGGATGCTTCACATACTGTGAACATGTTATAGTGATAGAAATGGCAATAAGGAAATCCCCATGGGCATTTTCTTAACTGTGATGTTATGAGAGAGAATTTGATTTAGGTAATGTTACCCTCAGGTAATAACAACCTTCCATTAGCAGCGACAAGATTATTATTTTTGCTGTTTAAACTGTGTTGAAAGAATTACTCATCTGTTTACTTGACTACTACTGTGTAGAAGTACTCTTGTACAAGAGTGGTGCTGAATTCAAAATGTTCCCTTAGTAAAAGTGCAGAAGAATTAGCATCAAATTATACCTCATGTGCCAAAAAGTACTCAAAGTCTTCAAAATTGTATATTGCATTATTGGATGTTAATCATTGATGCAATTCATTCACGTGTTAATCACTTAATTGTTTCAGCTGGTAAAGGAGGAGCTTATTGCTCTGCAATATTATATTATATATTTTTCAATATGGGATCAATTAAGTTAACATAAAAGTATTAAAATATAAGATTTATTTATTTGATATCTGTGTTATTGCCCTGAAACTTCAAAGTATAAGTTATAAAATGTATTTAGTGGAGTAAATAGTGCAACATTTGTCTCTGAATTGTAATGGAGTAGCTGGTTGAGGTGATATGGGTTAAAGGGAGGTTTGGTGCACCCTCTGGAAAACAATATTGAAGGAATGAGAACAAACAATATGTATGAACTTCATACTGTGACAGTGTCATCACAACAAACAGCTAACACAGGAGAATGATTGATCACCCTAAAAGCCTTCTCTATGTCGTTGTTCTATTAATTCAATAAATTAACCAACCTTTCTTCCAATAATAAATTCTGTTTTGGCATTACTTATTTTTATTTGTCTTACTTGAATGATTAGGCACTAACAGTTCCATATTCCCATATTCCTATACGCAGTGGCGGCGCCAGGGTATGGCTGGGGTAGGCTACAGCCATACCAAGAAATGGCTTAGCCCCACCTTAGCCCCACCATGAAAAATGATGTTAAAGTAAGCTAAATAAAGTCCGTCATCTCGCGCGGAGTAAATTGCACAGACAGCAGCTAGTAAGATTGATTTCAGTAGCCACTTGTCTGGAAATACCGAAGACTAGAAACGGTTTTGAAAACTTTTGTCACGTAGTGATCTTCTTCCCAATAAAACATCTTTGATAATGTCTTCTGGCCAATCAGAATCACGATAACGGCGTGCAGGAAGTCCCGACGGAGAATACTTTAGCGGTAGTACATCTCTATATACATAGATACAACATTACGTGAAATAAGACCCCACGGTTTGATGATTGATAGGTGTGTGGGCTGTCTTTCATTTTGACACACAGAACAATGGGGGCTATCCACCCTTATCCACAATGTAATTCACACAGCCTCTTCCCTCTTCTCTCTGTGAGGAGCAGCAGGTTCAGCTTTCAGAACAAAGTAACAAAAAACAAAAATGGCATTCATTTTTTTAAATATGTAGTAATAGATTTATTTATTTTTCTTCTCAAGAGAGTACAAGAATGTGTATTTTATGTTAGTATTTCAAAAAATCTCCTGGGGGAGAATCCCCCCAGACCCCCCTGCAGGGGTTGGGTTTTCAGCATGTCAACTCTTTCACCTGTGGGGAAATTGCAGGAATGGCTCCAGGTCGCCCTTTTTATTTACTACAAGACAAATGTGCCTTTTTATTTCATACAGTTCAATTTGGATTGAGACAGGGAAATAATCTAAACCTCACGCGTGGCGTTTCACTGTCAAGGGGGGCGATATAGCGTGTATGTAATTACATTGCAAATACTGACTTGAGCCCCACCACTGTATGGGTTAGCCCTACCATAGATTACCCAACACAAATACTCTGGAGCCGCCACTGCCTATACGGTTTATATTGGTAACACTACTGTTCTTTTGTTTTTTTGTTTTTTTCATATCTTTTTCTACACATTTTTATGAATGTCTTACTTGTATTGTTATTCTATTAGACATTATGAACGTTTAATACTCCTTTTTTTATTATTGTAATGTTTAATTCACGAGCAATCTCTCGGTAGGCTATTAATAATTTTAATGTTTTTATTTAATTTTATGTTATCTTAAATAACGATTTACATATCAGGCCCATTTTCATAATTTAAACCATGCAACTTATTTGCACTGAAAAATATAATTTAACTGCAGGTAAAACTAAATGATATGAACATTTATAAAAGCCGTAGTGTTGTCTTGGTGAAGTGAAGTCTCGCGTTACCATTCCCCAAATCCCGTCCAAGAAACCAACCAGGAAGCGAATGGCGGAAATTTAGATCCACCTCACGCTTTCAGCTAACAGTTTTTGGGGCAGAGCTGTTTCTCTCCTGAATGGAGACGCCAGCAGAGTAGAAGACACATGTGTTGCTGCTAAAAACGGTGGACGGGGTTAAAGAAACGATGTCTTCGCGTCTAACTACACGGCAGCATCGGTAACGTGAATGGACGGAGTGAGTCCTGTCACTGAGATCCTGACAGATTAAACACCGGTAGGTTTTACTACATATGATTTTTACTTTTGCGTTAACACTACTACACATGAGAGAAACACAATTATAAAACATTGTAATTTGGTCGCTAAAATGAGTTGAAAAACATCAGAAAACACACCCTTTGATTGTGACTAGCAAAACAGTAGCAAAGCAACCATATGGACTGAACAGCATTCTGAGTTTAGGTAAATAAAAGACTTTAATATTGCATCTAGCATGCCTTAAATCACTCAAATGGTGGTAAGTTACTACCACCAGCAAAGATGTGTGGTTGTTAACCGTAAACTCTGGCATTAACCGCTCCCAGTGTTTACGATACCTCAAAATAACAGCTGCAAAGATTCTCTGCTGGATCTGTATCTTTTTTCTGTCAATGTCAGGCCTATACTCTTATCACCAACCATCTATTATGTACATGTGTGGCTGTTTTTAAAGTGTGATATAACACAAGCTAAATGAGCAAGTTCTTATAAATAAAATTACATTAGAAGGTAAAAAGAGTTGTTTGAAGCATTACATTTGTATCAGGAACACTATACTTATTTTCAGTTGGGGACGGCCATTTCCTTGTTTAACATGTTTAACACAATGCCCCCATGAACAAAGCCAGATCCATAAAGAGAAAAGTGGAAGAACTTGTATGGCCCATCGGTGCTCAACATCTCAGGCTTTTGTGGCTGAATGGGAGCATCCCTTAAACCAGGCTTTAAAATCATAAGAAAAGCGTGAAATAGTAACATGTTGATGCCCATGGTTTTGGAATGAGAACTTCATCTGTTACACATGAGAGTGAAGAGAAAGGTAGAAGATACCCCCTTGGGGAAATTCAAGCCTCTAGTAGCACAATCTGTATAATCATATCTGTATAAATATAGATAATAATAAATGATATGAATATAGCCCTTTTTGCTTAGATTAGAGACACTACCCAATATAAGGAGGTAATAATAATAACAAAGCAGCATGCACAGGGTTAAAAAAGGACACTTAAAAGTCCAATCATATAAACTTTAGGCCAAGTTGTTTGATTTATTTTCCCACATGACAAGCTGTTCATTAGCCAGAGTTAAGAGAGAGGTCTGCCAGCAAACCTCTATATAATAAAGTCAGAAAGGGTTTTTGGATAAGCATCATTCTACACACTAACTATTTATCATTTGCAGATTTATGGCCTTGCTCCTCAGCTAGACGAGGGAGACGACGAGAGTATCATCATGTTCCTGAAAGCATCTTTCACCTCCCTGATTGTGGGGGTGTTTGTGGTGTACGTGCTCCACACATGCTGGGTGATGTATGGCATAGTGTACACTAAACCCTGCGACAACCCCAAAGAGGACAACTGTATCACATCCTTCCTGGCAGGGAACCCCAAACTACAGGTCAGTCATGTCAATCAATCAATCAACAACTTTATTAATCCCGCAAGGGGCAATTGGTTATGAGCAGCAGCTTATGTCATGTACACAGGCAGGAACATACAGGAAGAAAACACACAGATACACCCGGGAGCACAGATGTGGATCATTCCAATTTACACTATAAATAGTTCATAGCATCACAATAATAAATAAATAAATAAATAATCAAGTTAAAAGCGATCAACATTTTAAAAGTTTGAGTGCAGAAGGGATGAATGATTTTGAAAAGCGATTAGTCCTTTGATCAGGTAGAGCATATCTTCGCCCTGATGGCAACAAACTCAATTCATGTGAAAGTACATGACCTGGAGAGTTCAGAATGCTCTCTGCTTTCCGCAGAATCTGTTGGTTACAGAAGGAATTTAAGTCTCTCTGTTTCACGCCGATGATCTTGGAGCAGGTTTTAACAATGCTGTTCAGGCTGTTCCTGTCTTTCAGTGTAAGGCTATGGAACCAGCAGATAAAATAAAAACAAATAAGGCTCTCAATGAATGCTTGGTAAAAACGACAAAGAATGAAAGGCCTGACAGAGAAAGAGTTCATTTTGCGTAGAAGGTGCATTCTCTGTTGACCCCGCTTCACAATACACTCAGTATTCACATCAAATTTGAGGTGGTCATTGAAAATGGTGCCCAAGTATTTGTATGATGTGACAATTTCTACATTGTCATTGTGTATGATGCACTCCTTAGGAACATCCTTGTGACGTCTAAAATCAATGATCAATTCCTGGGTTTTGGAGACATTTAAATCCAGAAAACTGTCATCACACCAGGAAATAAAATCAGTAAGAGCACACTCGTGGCCTGATTCTGAGCCGCTAAGGAGGGACAAGAGGGCGGTATCATTAGAGAATTTAACCAGGTAGCTGTTGTCTTGCATGCTCCTGCATTTATCAGTGTACATTATAAAAAGTAGGGGCGAAAGAACGCATCCTTGAGGCGAGCCCGTGGAAGTGATGACAGAGTCAGAGAGGCGTCCATTGACAGACACCTTCTGCTCTCTTTTAGTTAGAAAGTTTAAAATCCATAAAACAAGTTGATCGGGCAGTTTAAAATGACATAACAGGCTCTCCACCAGGAGATGCGGCTGCATTGTGTTAAATGCTGAAGAAAAGTCAGCAAACAAAAGCCTAGTATGGGCTTGTGGCTTTTCAAGGTGTTTGTGGAGGGTGTGCAGTATAAAAAGCTTTGCATCCTCTAAGCCTCTCCCTGCCTGATATGCAAATTGTAGTGGATTAAGTTCACCACCTACTACTGACATGACAAGGCCTTTAACAATGTGGGGTGAACGATGGTTCGTTTAGATTCCAGTGTCCAGTAGAAGACTGTGAAATTGTAAAAATGTATCTGTGTGTTTCCAGTTGAGTATCTACACCGCACTGCGACCCAATGCAGAGGGAGGACATACTTTGATCCACAAAGAGGAAACATTTGATGTCAACAGCAAGTTTGAGAGGTGAGTGGCACTCGTTTTATATAACTTTTAAATGGAAAAGCAAAGAGTTGCTATAAGCCTCTAAAATGATTATTCTCCATCCTCAGATCTGATTGGTAAAGTCAGATTCATAGCTGTACACTAACTGATACACACTGAACCCAAATGCATTCATTCATAATTCAGATGAATGCATATAAACCTTGCTAAGAACTGAAACCCATGTTGAGATTATTACACTTGACAGACTGATATTTAGATTTTTTTAAGAGGACACTTTTCCAAGGACTTGTGATTGATGCATAAGCAAACATACGTCATATTCTTATATACAGTATCTAAATATCTTCCTTCCTTTCATCCTCTTCTTTCCTCCAGGATAGTAAATGTCACCCTCCCCAAGAAGACCCGCAACAATGGAACTTTATATGCATTAATATTTGTCCATCAAGCTGGCGTCACTCCGTGGCAGGATCCACGACAGGTCCACTTGGTGGCTCAGCTCACCACATACATGGTGCCTAAACTGCCTGAAATCTCCCTGATATCCGGAGATGATCAAACACAGGTACTTAATTATTCATTGTTTTCTGAATAAAGAGTGTTAAAGGGCATAGGGAAAAGCTTTAGGTGGCTATTTGAATGTTTTATATTACCTCTAGGTGCTAATCTGGCATTTCATTTGAGAGTACATGTTCTTTGTCTATGTGATCACACAGGGTCAGAAAGAAGAAGCCCAGCAGAAGAAAGGTGAAGGTGACCCTGCAGCAGCTCCCACTTCCACAGCTGATCACCCAGTTTCCCACTGGCGCACCCGCCTCACATTCAACATTGTTGGCGACCCCTTCGTTTTCGACAGAGAATCCCTGCCTAGTGATGTCCACAGATACCTCAGAGTGTAAGAAATACAGTAACGCATACACACACATGAAACCCGCTCAAAGACTCATCTTGCACTATTTCTATTTCTATTTCTATTTTATTTCTATTTACTTGCACATCTCAAAACATTCTCTTGCACTATTTTATCTGTTTTATTTGTTCTATGTCCTATGCTGCACTATTGGAGGAGCCTGTGACCAAAGTTTTTCATTGTCATATCTACACTGTAGCTAATGTGCAAATGACAATAAAGCCTTGAAACTTGAAACTCACAGAATTAAAAACTCTGGGTATGTTGCTAAACTATTGTGGACATGTAACATATTATATGCAGGAACATTAAGGTTTATGGCATATCATGGATTAAAAGGACTTGAATTAGGATCCAGATGCGTCTGATCATGTTTTGTTTTTCTGTATTTCAGATTCCAAAATGGTAAGAAGATGGTTTATCTACCTCTGCTGTTTGTTGATGAGCTCAGCAACCGGGTGAAGGACCTTGCGGTAAGCCATATTTTAAATCAATATTATAGTTACGTTTTGTTAAAGAACTTATTAAGAGAAAAACACTGTTTACTATTATCCAATGATTAAAGGTTGGAATGATCAACCAGATACTTGTTGATCTGTAGACACTGAAACTAGCGAGGATTTATTTCCTGCCAAAATGTGTACTGTTGCAATGATCACAAGAGAATAAGATCCATCCTTTTAGAAGGAGATATTGTAAGTAATGTATGTTTTGCTTCTAAATAATCTGACATGCTGGTTTGTTGTGTATTTGCAGGAGATCAACAGCACCTCCATGGAGCTCCCTCTGACCATCTCCTACGACTCCATCTCTCTGGGGAGGCTGAGATTCTGGATCCACATGCAAGACGCTGTTTTCTCTCTGCAGCAGTTCGGTATGTTTATCATCACTCTGTCACACACACACACACACACACACACACACACACACACACACACACACACACACACCACACACACACACCACACACACACACTACACCACAACACCACACACCGACACACACACACACACACACACACACACCACACACACACACACACACACACAACACACACACACACACACACACACACACACACACACACACACACACACACACACACACACCACACACACACACACACACACATCCACACACACACACACAGACACACACACACACACACACACTACACACACACACCACACACACACACACACACACATCACAACACCAACACACACACACACACACACACACCACACACACACACACACAACAACACACACACACAACACACACACACACACACACACACACAACACACACACACACACACACACACACACACACACACACACACACACACACACACACACACACACACACACACACACACACACACACACACACACACCACACACACACACACCACACACACACACACACACACACACACACACACACACACACACACACAGTAAAAGCTTTGAACTCTAATACAATGTTTTGTTGTCTGTCTGTATCTCTATTTGCAGGTTTCACAGAAAAGGATGCGGATGAGATTAAAGGAATCTTTGTGGACACCAACCTGTACTTCCTGGGTCTGACTTTCTTTGTAGCCGCCTTCCATGTAAGTCTTCACCTCCGAGCACCACATTACAATAGAATCAAATAAAGAAGAAAACTGTATAATGCAAAAGTCTGAACATTGCACAATTCTCCAAACCAAAAGTTGTATAACCACCAAATAGAGGATCATAAGAAGCAAATCTGTATCCGATCTTTGCTTTCATCCTTCATAAAAGATAATGACTGACAAACAATAAAATGCCGCTTGATACATTTATGTTTATGTCTTTTTGCTTTTTTTAGCTCCTATTTGACTTCCTCGCGTTCAAGAATGACATCAGCTTCTGGAAGGAGAAGAAGAGCATGGTGGGAATGTCCAGCAAAGCAGGTAGGTAACTTTGTTCTCGTTAACAACACAATATTGGACAGTTAATGATGTTTGGAGGTTCACTTGCTATACAGATGGCTGATTGGAAAACTAATTCAACACAGTATGACACTGTCAGGCCTTTAAAGAAAAAGTGCAACACAAGGGAATCAATAAGGAACTAGGCATCAGCGGTGTGTTGAGTATAATCTGATTTAGTGAGTCTGGAGTGCTTGGTGGCCTGATGTTGAATTGTTTTCAAAACAGCAACAAAATAAGGGATCTCGTCTGGTAATATCAAGAATTAGCCATATGCAAAAGGCTGTGAGACTTATTTCACCCACATCCTTATAAGCAAGAAGTAATGTATATACTTCTAAATGTTTGCCAGTCTCTTGTCCTGTACTGGAACTATGCATGTCCACAGGTGTGGCTCTATGAGGCAACTTATTTTGTGGATTTTTAAAGTAGAAAATGCTAAAACATTGGTATTGACAGAAGATGATCAGTTTTGTAAAATTACTGAAATGCATCTATTATTGTGTAATCCAAATAATGTGTGGACCTAATGATTATATGTTGTGTTTTCTTTCCAGTGCTGTGGAGATGTTTCAGCACCATCGTGATTTTCCTCTATTTGTTTGACCAGCAGACCAGCCTGCTGGTCCTCATACCTGCGGGCATCGGCTCTATCATTGAAGTTAGTACACACAGAAACACACTGCAAACACACACTGCATGCACTGAGAACTAAATAGAAACATGTATTTTTTTGATGTAGTTTTTAAAAATAAATGTTGTATTTATTCAATCTGTTCATGATATTTTTGTGGAAATGTTGCAGGTATGGAAAGTGAAGAAGGCCTTGAAGATTCAGGTGTTCTGGAAAGGAGGCAAACCTACATTCCGGGTGGGTGGGAGTTTGTGTGTGTGCTTGTTTGTGTGCTTGTTTGTGTAACTGGTTGATCTCCTTTTTATTTTCTGCCGTTTACTTTAATGGCTCAGTATGAATCAAATCTTTTATCTATCAAGGCTGCTCTACAGCGTTTGACTGTTCGTCAGTGGTGAATGAATTGTGGACCCTACATACCATTTCCTCTGTTTGCTGAGCACAGCTTTCTTTGACTAGATTTTAGTTATTTACTCTGCAATACGGCTCTCTATTAAATTGATGTGGGCTGAAAATGAAAGCACAGTAGCTCCACATTTGCAGACATGATAAACGAATAAACAAAACCATTTGTTATAGGCCGTAGTTTAAGATTGCTACTATCACCAAAGCAAAGCAATGTGGTTCCTTGTTTTGAAGTTTAATCTCAGAGTTCAGAAATCACAGCATTTTCCCATGTTTCCGATCCATTCACCTCACAGTTGTGCAATTAGATCAAATGTGTGTGATTTTGAGTGCTAACCCTAAATCTCTGTGTTTTTCTTTTCTGTGGAATAGTTTGGGAAAATGGATGAATCGGAGAGGAGAACAGAGCATTACGATACTCTGGTAAGACCATACAGGCTCACACTCAATATATAACAATATACCTTACCACACACTGCACGTTGTTACTGGGCAGTATGCGTGGTGCTGTAACTGGATGTATGCTACCTTGTCTTTCTCTGTAGGCCATGAAGTATCTCTCTTACCTCCTTTACCCGTTGTGCATTGGAGGGGCTGTGTATGCTCTAGTATTCCAGCGATATAAGAGGTAGATTTGTGTTTGTGAACATAGCATGCAAAGTTTTGTTATTTAATGTAATTCCAGTTGTTATTATCTCACCAGTCTTGACATGATTATCTCATATTGTTTTCTCTGTCTCTGTTCTAGTTGGTACTCATGGTTGATCAACAGTTTAGTTAATGGTAAGCTTTAAACTCTCAACACTATGAATTGTTAACAGTATTATAATTTGAAAAGTTGATAACCTTGATTGAAAAGAAAAGGCTTTTCAAATTGTTGTTGATGATTGCAGGTGTATACGCCTTTGGTTTCCTCTTCATGCTTCCTCAACTATTTGTCAACTATAAGGTCAGTACTTTTAACAGTATTTTAAAATGTGGTTATTAACTAAATGTATTACAAAGGCTCAAACTATATGTGACATCTTGCCTCTTAAGGGAAGAAAATAACTGCTACATGTTGGGTTTGAAGGGACAATTTAAATTGGTTTCTAGAGGTCAAAACAGCTTAACATCTTAAAGAAAGGTGTAGATTGTTTAGATATTGCTTCAAAGTTTACACCACAGCATTGCATTTAATTTAAATGACTGTTTTTGTCTTTCAAACATCCCACCGCTGATGTATTGTGCTCTATTTAACAGCTGAAATCTGTGGCCCACCTGCCCTGGAAAGCCTTCATGTACAAGGTGAGAATCAACTCCATTTAGTTACTCTGTTAGTGCTGATTAACAAGTATGAATGTATTGACAGTCTGGAATTATAGATTTGCTGTTATATTATAAATATTGAATGATAAATCACCAAATTCCCATCTCCCACCTTGTTCTGTCACAGATGATATGAAACAGATACTGTTTGATGTAAACAAATCAATTGTTTAATTTAAGCTACACTCACTATATATCCTTATTAGCATCTATTCTGTATTCATTGATTGATTTATCTTTTCCAGGCATTCAACACTTTCATCGACGATGTGTTTGCCTTCATCATCACCATGCCAACGTCCCACAGACTGGCCTGTTTCAGAGATGACGTGGTGTTTCTCATCTACCTCTACCAGAGATGGTACGTGCACAAACACACAAACACAAAACACAGAGACAGACCATTTTTGCAGAATAACCAACAAAACACACCCAAACCTTTTCTGACCTATAACTCTGTTTCCTCTCCCCAGGCTCTACCCAGTGGACAAAACGAGAGTAAATGAATATGGAGTTTCTTACGACGAAGAACCCAAAAAAGAAAAGACTCACAAGGACTAGTGAGGAGAGACTATTGGATTCCATGATCTCAGTCCAATGGTATCCACTGATTGGTAATGGTCATTGGGTATAAACTGAGCTCCAGGTGAAGAGGCACCTGGAAATGTGTTTGTGATCCAGATCAGTTAGTCGTAAATGGACCAGCTGCGGCACCATTCCTGTGGTTTTTGACTTTTTCATTCCGTCCCATAGTGCAAAGTTTTGAAGGGTCAACATCTGCTTATCTGCCCTTTGCAGTCTGGAAAGGATTATTTTTTGCAGCGAGTGACGGGACAGGGAAATCAATAAACCTCTAACCATTTAAATCTGACGCAACAAATCTCGGAACAACGTGATTGGTCTGTTTGCACCCTGCACCAATATGACCATCTGTTCCTCAGGTCAGACACTGCTCAGCTTTGTTATGAAAGAGTACACTGATGACTATAGCAGCTCTCCTATAGTAGATGTATCTTACTTTCTCTGCCATAAGGTCTGCTTTTTAGTTTTCCACCAAGCCAGTCACATTCCTTGTCTATTGGAGCAGCTCTATACTGTTGACATCACTTGGAGGTCTTTTTTTTTTAACTTAATTTACAGCTTTGCATGTCAGCAAATAGTCATTTGGTTGTATGATATTACATTGGGCTCCCACTTTAAGCAAAAAACACTTCTTCAGGACCACTTTAGATATTGAGTTTCCGAATTTTAATTGCAATGTCAAAAAGGGATGATTAGAATTTGAAAACCTTTTTTTTAAGTTGTATATGGCTCTATTGTTAGCTCAGTTAATTGTTTCTAAAGCAGCATTTAAATGAGAAATTATATAAAGTGGAGCTAATTATTTTTGTTAAAAGGATGTGAACAATTTGCCAATTAGAAATGATGAATGTGTAGACATTTAAATTATTTATCATCAATTATTATGAAGACAAACCCAACATGTTTAAACCCTGGGACAATTTGTCATCTTAAAAGTGAGAATATGCATCAATGAAATGTTTAAGGTAACATAAAGTTAGTTACAAATTGAAAATGCATCATTCTAACTTTTAAGATTTTTACTTGTATACTTTCTCACAAGACTCATTCAATGGTCATCGTCTTAAAACAACCGTCTCCTGTCTCTCCTGATCTGGCCACACACTAAATGATGCTGACATTTTTAAACTATGACACAGTGGGGTAACCTTTATACTGTAGCCATACTGTCATTTCCACCCACTACCGTTTTTGGTTTGGTTTTACCTTCTGAAGTATTTTTTACATATCAGGGCCAAGAAAATATGTTGGTGCCAAACTTTTTGAACTTTGAATGTTCACCATAAAGGGTCCATCTGCCGTTTTTAAATAGAAAATAACATTGTGAGATTAACGGTTTATGGTAAGACTTGAGGAAAGTATTACTACAAGTTGATATACAGTTGCATTTAAATTTTTCTGCTATAATTCTAATGTTGTTTTTTTTTTTTCAAAATGTGTCTGTTTTTATTTTAATATAAAGATTCATGGATACATTTGGTCTGTGCGTAAATAACTAGCCCAGGGTTTCTTTTCCCTTGTGGGCTGAGAGAGATTTGCTATAAAACTACCTTGAAATGGTTTTACTTATTGTAATGTTTATGTTTTTAATTGTGATTAAATAAAACTGTTGACTGATCATGCTGTGATCATTGGAGTTAAAACCCACAGACAGATTTATGTAACATCATAAAGATGAAATACACAATACATATGTATACAATTCATTATATATATATATATATATATATATATATATGCTTATATACACAGGTTATATAGATATAGATATATATCTATGTTATATAGTTATAGATATAGATATATATCTATAGATATATATATATATATATCCTGTGTATGTAAGCTGTCCTTTGAATCTATTATAACACATAGCATATACATATAAAAAAACAAATACATAATAAATGAATGGTGCTTAATGTGGAAAGGCTTCAAATGTATATTATTTTCTTCAATTAAATAGAAACATATATCAATTGGGAAATATTTTTATATAAAATGTAATAAAAACAATATTTCAAATTAACATATTGATTTATTTTATATTTCTGTGCATATTTCTTAATTTTCAAATATGTGTATATTATAATTGAGGCTTTCTTTCGTTGTTTCGTTTACTAATTGAGCTATTCATTTATTTGCTGTCATGGCGCCTTTAGATCTGCATTTAACAAACTCCATTATTGTTCAAACTCCAAAACAAAAAGTGAGAGCTTTTGAAATTGCATCGTCGCAAGACGTCTGTCGTCACTGTGTGTGCGTGCTGACGTCAGAGCCACGCAGCCTCGACGCAGAGTATATCAAGCTAGCTCCCGCCCTCTCCCGTCCCTTTTCCGCTACAGGAAGTTAACGTGCCTAAGGTGCTCGGTTCTTCACCAGAAGCTAAGGCCCGCAATCCGGCGACTAGCACCCTCACATTTAGGCATCCACTTCGAAAAATACCAAATCTAACATCTACAATGGCATCCGTATCTGAGCTCGCTTGCATTTACTCTGCTCTGATCCTCCACGACGATGAAGTCACCGTCACCGTAAGTGTCCCGGCTTTACCCCGGTCCGCCAAAACCTAAACCGCACATTCTAGGGTATTATGCGAACTGTGAAAGCCCTAAATCATAAAGCTGACACATTTAAAAACTATTCTGAAAAACTGTCATGTTAGTATGTTTGTTAAAAATGTGAGTTTAGGTATTTAGATGTCAAAACGGTACCCTCTTGCGATAAAAATGGCGGCATGGTTGTTGCTAGGCCACGTTTCTGTGTTGGAACAGCTCTTAGTGTCTTGTGCTATTCATTAACTAACTTTGTAGCTTATGTTACATGTTTTATTTGTTCTTGACACATGTCTTCCACTTCTTAAAACAGGTGTAGGTCTAGATATGTCCTTCGCTCAAATGACAGGTGCTGTCTAAAGTCAGTGCTAAGCTAGTTTTACTCCACATCAGCACAACATGCTTTAAAGTATCACCTAAAGTGAGTCAGTTAACGTTTGTCTAGAAACATTAACTATTGTGATTAGTGTTGTTTTTTTTACAACTACACTTGGTTATCTTTTATCCTGGCGGTTGTGCTACACGTGGATGCTGAACAACATCCTTCTAACTTTCAAACTTCTGAACAAATGATGACACAGCACATCATTATCCCTCTTCATTTCACCAAACAATATTGCCAGTACATACAAGATGGCTTTGGCAAATGAGATTCACTAACTAAAACTTGACTTGCTGCTTATGTGATAAGAGTCTTTTGTTTATGAAGTCCACACAACTTTTTTAAAGGGTGAAAGAAGTGTATTTTGTTAACAACCATTGTTTCTGTGTCTATAGGAGGACAAGCTGAATGCCCTGATCAAGGCTGCTGGAGTCACAGTGGAGCCTTTCTGGCCAAGTCTGTTCGCCAAGGTGAGAGAAACACACTTAATAAGGGTGATGCAAATGCAGGGTTTAAAGCAGTGGGATGGGTTAGGTTCTGTTTTTACTAATAGTGTCCTTGCTGCTTATCAACCAAGAAATAATACTCTTAGCTGAACTGCTTCCGAGCTTCACATTTCTATTACCGCAAGTAAAAGCTGATTTAATTTGGAAAATAAGTTGTGTTTTGTCATTTAAAAAAATGTTTGGCTGCAATGGTTACCACTGAAAAACAATGTTTACTAGGAATGCATGAAATCCTGAACGTCTTTATAGAATATATATTGTTCCACATTTAATTGATGAATGAGACCTAGTTATGAAAGACGTTGTTAGATAAATGATCACTAGAGTTGGATTCTAATGTAATGCACTGGTAGAAGATGCTAATAAAACATTTAGTTTAAGGACTATGTAGTAAATGAATTTCATGTGTACCAAGAGTCGTACAGAACACACCTAGTTATCTTTAGTTGTGGAGGTCTGACCTGTGATTGTGTCTGTTCGTAGGCTCTGTCCAGCATCGACATCGGCAGCCTGATCTGCAACGTTGGAGCCGGAGGTGGAGCACCCGCTGCCGGAGGAGCACCCGCTGCCGGAGCACCTGCTGCTGGTGAAGCCGCCCCAGGTAACCAGACAAACTGTGGATTCAATTAGAAAGCTGGTTTTAGTTGTGCTCCACCAAACAATTATTTTTAGAACTGATTTCTATGTGGCATTTATTGCATATTTTCAATTTTTTTTTAAGTTCATCTGATCTTATAATTTCAGTATCCTGAAAATCAAGCTATAGTTGCCTTAAATTCTCCAGATATTAAACCTTTTGTGATATAGCAAGACTTAAATGGGATGTACCTCGTGGTGTTGTGTATTATATTCCAATGCTGTACTTGTAAGCTGAAGGCAAGTGCATCGCTGGCTTTTGAGGTGTAGACTTGTGGTATTGTTAGTTTGACTGAGTTTGTGTACTATGGCTTTTCTGAACTCAAACTGGTCTGGTTAAGGTATTGCTTAAACTTAAATTCAGAAGAAAAACATTTGAGTCTTTCAGATAAATAATCCAAGCTAAATTGCCAGCTTACTTTACACTTTTAGGGTAATTGTGCAAAGCCAATCTCTACAAATGGTAATTGTGCACCTTGCATTTTTGTACTTTGTTAACGTATTCTTTATTTTCTACCCTTACAGCCAAGGAGGAGGAGAAGAAGGAAGAGTCCGAGGCTGAGGCATCCGATGATGACATGGGCTTTGGTCTCTTTGATTAAAATGTTTTTGTAATAAAAAAAACAGTAATACAAAAATAGCTGCTGCCTATCTGACTCAATTTGTCCTTCCACATAATAGCTTGAGACGGATGCAAATAATTCATGTCAATGCCAAAACATTAATTCTGACATGGGAGAGCTGCACTACATAAAGGAAAGGTTTCTTTTATATACATATTGCCGTATTCTATTAAAGCATTTGTGAAGGGAAATGCCTGTAAAGAAACTGGACTAGGATGTAATCTGTTGTGACTACAGTGTAATGATGTGAAGACAGCTGCCACTTCAGTTCAACCTGCAGACTTAATGCTGTGATAACATATCCGTTTTCTTAATTTTGTGAGTCTTGAATGGTGTGTACACATTTACAGACCTTTTTTTTTACACCTGAATGCAAACTATTAAAAGTGGAGAAAGTTTGCAAGGAGAAATGTATACATGAGAATGCTGTTCAGGCTGCATAAAACAATGTTAATGGGTTCATTGATAGTATATTAAATGTTAGTTCAGATAAAGGTTCAGGCTCCAATTGTATTGACGATTTTGACAGGACAAAGTTAAACTTCTAGTCAGCTGCTAACCCCCACAGATGTGTTTCAAAAGTTTACCGAAAGCCTTATCTACAATGAACCATGCTCCATTGCTTTTGTTATGTACTGTTAGTTCGTTTATTAATTGAACTGAGTCCCATGTCCAGATGAACAATCTTTATTGCTGTTCTCCAGAGTAACACATTACATGTGTCACAAGCGACACCTTGTGGTGAGAGTTTGAATCTAACATACTACATTGTATTACTTCAAGGTATACACACGCATATCTGACTTAATTTATAGCCTTTTGTAAAGTAAATACATTTTTAAACTGTTGACCTGATAACCGACCCCAATTGAGTTTTTGGACGATGTTTGAGAATTAAGGACAGTTGATTTAAGTTCATTTTTTCAATCAGTGCGATTCCATAAATCTCAACCCAGAGCGTTAAGCACCAGTTTCCGTACGGTAGCGGTTATCATTTTCACCGGGGAAAGGTCCCCGGTTCGAAACCGGTTACTGATAAACACTAAATACAACAGACAAGTGACCTAATATGACGTAGGGAGTTCTTTCCACTTTCCCTTAACTCGCCTCTTAGCACCATAGACTGTATAAAGGTTAGCACATGTATTAGCGATAACGGCTAAGTGATGGGGCCAGGTGACAACATTTCGAATGTGAAACAGAACACTAAAAAAATATTTCATCATAACAATAGCGAAGTCAAGTTAGGCCCAGCTGTGTACATTTGAACAATTAACCTTATCACTTTAAATTGAAACGTGAATTGAGTTACCAGGATCCAGAGCAGCAGGTGGAACCTGTTGGGTGAACATCGTGCTCCGTGTTTTCATGTCTTCTATCTAATGAACACTCGTTCTGGATAAGCAAGCACTGTTTTCTTTATTATCTGTTGCTAATGTAACAATTGTTCAATCTGAATACACTTTTTCCTTTGAAATAGCAAAAAAGCTCCGTGTAAGTCATAAACTCATGTCCACAGCTGCAAGCAATCAAGATGACCAACATACATGCATCTGTGTTGATTAGTAAAGTATAGGCAACACTACGCAGTTAAGAAACAGACAGCAGCCAGCAGTATTTCTTAAAGATAACAGTGTTTTTATTTGCTTGGTTTAGCAACTGTACATGTGACTCCTTCCTGAGAATGCTGCTCACCTCAGTAGAGAGGGAACAGTGGGATGGAGAGAGAATCAGAGAGGCCAGGGGGATAGAAATGTGGGGGTGACAGAGCAGAAGAAGAAAGGGGATAAAAGGTATAAATAACTCCAGTGGATGGAGGTAGAAAGACAGGGTGGGATTATAAGAAGGACTGATTGAGAGCAAATGATTGTGGACATGAACCATTTAAAAGATGAACCTCTATGAACCTGACCACCAACCCATGCTGTAGTTTAAAAAACACAGTTTAAAGGTGTGTATCTGTCTGAGTATGATGAAGGGACCCGCAACATGCTTAATGCAACAAACCAATTTGGTTTCAATATACCAAAACATTGATAGAGAAATAATTCATTTACATTTTTGTAGAAACTTCTGTAAAAATAGGCGAGTTGCTCCAGAAAATGTTGAATTGTTGAGGAAACCAATATAGTTTGAGTGAAACGTTCCTTTTAAGTGCATTTGACACAGGGTGACCTACTGTACAGTATAATTAGAAACTCCAATGTAACTCAAAATCCAGCCTCCCTCCTTCTCACCCCTCTGCCCCCCTTCACCAACAATTCATGCCTCAGAAGTGTTACAAATATAGCTTTTTGTATATGTACTTAAAAAGTGGTCTGTGACATTTAGATTGTTCTTCTTTCATATTTCTGTGTTATGCCAACTCTTAATGCCTGAGATAAAGAGATCTAGATAAAAGAAGGTCGAAGAAAAATATGAAATTATGATGTTTATGAGCAGCTGGAAATCAATTATTTTTGCCTATTGAATATTCAAGAAGAGGACTGAACATAGAGACATGCTGTAAAAGTCAAGGCTGAACATAGTAATAATTATAATTAATAATGATATAAAAGCATGTTTAAACAACAACATTATCATATCATCTTCATGATCCTCCTCATTCTGGTTCTTCAGTTCCAGTTGTTACATCCTGCACATGTGGAGAGTGTTAGTCGTGTCCTTCAAGCGAGCCTCGGAAATCTTTCTTCAAAGATTAAAAATAAGTAATGGATGATTTGAAAAACAAAAAACGTATCTCTGGCGATACGTGATGGGGGAGAGGAGCGTTTCGCTGAATACAAAAGCAAATAATGCAACAAAAAAGTACAAAAAAACAGAATATTGACCAAAACATGACCGTGGCCAGAGAGAAGAAAAGATTATGAATGTTTGGAGGAAGAGGAGAGCGAGCGGATTGTTTTAGTCATGTCTGCTTTCAGTTCATTTTTTCATCCGTCCATCAGTGATATCCATCTAGAAATGTCCTCTCCTCTTTGTGATTGGCTGAGAGCTACTACACTCTCCCTCTCCAACAGGAACTAGTGTGGGCGGATCATCTTGAGTCGTGATTGGTCGATGACGTCCAGCAGGTTCTTGGCGTCCACTGCGAGGGCGTGAGCTGCCATTAGCATCTGTTTCTTGTAGTCCTTTTGTAAACTGTACAGGAAACAGAAAACAATCACTCTGTCACTATAGCTGTGAAATGATTAGTAAATCATTATCAGTAAAACATTTTATATCTGCACCCACCTTGTCATGACATACTGTTGGGCCAGTTTCATCTTCGCTATTAACTCGGCCAGATCTGAATTCAACAACTTCTGAGCCATCTCAATCTGTGATAACACAAACAAATGTGAATTTAAAATATACCTATGATCCTCAATAGTGTAATGCTCCCAATGACACTTAACCTGAGCAGAGGACTAATTAGCTACAAGCAGAAACACCTGTGTGGGCGTTTAGAGCCGTCAATATTACACATTCTTAAGTGAGGAGATTCACAGCAGACACATTTATAAAAACCTTAAAACATTTCCTGATGTAGAGGATTTGATAAAGGTTATAAAGAGTAGTTGTTTAAAATGTAATTCAAACTAATTATATAAATACTGAGCATACAAAAAAGATAGAGAGAAATGTATTAATCACTTCTGGTATTTAGTACAAGTATAAGGACGGAGAAATAACACTATCCTATATAATAATAATAATAATAACACATGTTATTTATATAGCGCTTTTCCTGGTGCTCAAAGCGCTTATATGTTTGCATGTACATACAAAATGTAAATATACAGATATAAACTATGTGTGTGTGGTTGTGTGTGTTTACCTCTCTGTGTGTGCTGGCTGGCAGCACAGGAAGCGTCTCGTCCACTGTTGCTAGCAGAGTCCTGAGGGCCAGACCCACCTCCTACACAGAGACATATTTTCTCATCAGTCTTCAGTTCATGTTAATCTGTTGATTATGGACCTTTAACGTTTGTCTAAACTCTCTAAAATGAGGAGGTGGGATCATTTGTATCTTTGACACATTTCTTCTAAGTTAATAGAGTTCAGATCCCAGTGTTTCACAGATTGTTGCACACTGTCAAAGTGGACAGTTGTATTGATCCTACCTTGACCATTGGGACGTACTCCTCGGGGGCGGCAGGCTGGATCCTGTTGGACATCTCAATCACAGCTTTAACCAACCCCGTCACGTTCTCATACACTTTGTCGTTAGAACGGTCCAAGTTGGCGGTGGGGGGCGGGCTGATCTCCTGAGGCTGCAACTGGAGCCATGGGAAGACATGACAATGAGCAACGAAAAATGGAAATTTGACACCTTTGAAAATGTTATTAAAGTTAAATTAAAATGTTCAAAAGGTCTAATTCTGCCCCTTTTTTGTGGTTGTCCTATCAGTGTTGATGTTCATTTGAAGACATAGATCCATGTGCTATATTGAGCAGGAAAGCTGATTTCAAGATGAAAACGAACATCCTTTTTATCTCTGCATGAATGCCAAACTACGACAGGACACTTTGGCCTTCTCTGTCAATAAAGCATACGCTGAGAAATGTACTGCTTTACTTGACTACATTTACCATCGACACTGATTGGAAATCCACACAAAATTAGCAGTTTTCCTTCTTTTTTTTCTACCAGGTTTAACATAGGTGACTGTAGTTATACAGACACAACACTAGGGGGCAGTATGTGACTAGATTTGAGCACACAAACAATACTAGGTTTGTGTGTCTGTGAGTGTTATTTCTTACTACATGCATTTCTACATAAATACTAAACACTTTCTACTACTATGTTAGAGGACATGTTAGCACAGTGGGATGGCAGGACAGACAGTTTTCTAGTGACTCAATGTTCAACCTGCATTAAGTGATATTTAAAATCAAATGATCTAGTGTAATGTGATGTTCTGTATACCTGCTGAATCTGTAACGATTTGATATGGTTGACACAAATCAAAGTGTGTCTCTTTTTGTCGTTCGGTCCCCTGGTGGTACAAATCCCTTAATGCAGGTTTATTTAATGTTCACAAAACTACTCTAGTTGATTTGATTTAGTTTAAGCTGAGGCCATTAGAGAGGGGACGTAATTAAAGCAAGGCTAAAGTGATTTGTAGGCCACCACATTAATGAGGAAAGCTCAGAGGAGATGAATCTCTAGAGAGCTTTATTTTAATAAGAATCGCCTTAAGCTACAATTTAGCTTTTGTGCATTTAATGTTGGCTTCTGTAATGGAAAACTTTAGTATATAAGGAAAAAGACAAATTAATCCCTCAGCTTCTCCTGTGAAAATCACAAATAATAATGCAGAACTATATAACAAGTTAATTCAACTTTATTTAACTATACTATCTAAAGACTATGTTAAGATGCAATGGGAGACACGGTCATCAGTTTACAATGCTTCTATCGATCACTACGAGGACTCATGTTTCATTTTTCTTTACCAGGGCTTTTTTTCATAAAACATTAGCTATGGCCACAACGAGCCTAAGACCAGTTCTTTAAGTTTGGAATAACATGGATCAGAGTAAAGCTGGAAATATCCACGTTTCAGCCTAAAAACTGGATTTTTGCATGAAATATTGCTGAAGGAGATTCACATGTACGAAGTGTAATTTGTTGTGCCTCTGGTAAAGAAAAGAAAAAATCAGAAAGCTTAATATAGCTTCTCCACACATGATACTAATGGTAACTAATAGCTAACTACTTCGATGACAGACAAACACAAAGATCAGCTTACCCTCCACGGCTAGGGGGAGGAGATAAGGGGAGGTGAGGGTGGGGGGTGACAGGGAGGAGATTGGAGAGGTGTGCAGCAGGTTGTGATAGGAGGGGGAAGAGGTGATGGATGATTGATGGATGCAGAGTAACAGGTCAGAAATGCAGGATGAAGAACAAGAAGAAGGCAGGGCGTTAACGGGAAACAAACAGAAGGAAGGCATGGATGTTAATGAGAGAAAGGGGGGAGAAAAAAATAAAGGGGGAGAAAAGAGGGACAGCACATTAGGCCAAAGCAAACCACAGGCAAGGCGTAGCATGGCACCGCATGCAACCCATCAGCAAAATGACACATTGTGATGAAGTCAACTCAAAACCAATATGCTAGAATGGGAAATAAGAGCAAAGTGAAGGAATTGTGTTCTTATAAATGTTCTTAATCAGCCTCATCTTAACTTTCAAACTGGGGAATACATTTTCTCTTTGCCCATAGCTGACGTGTAGCTGTGTTTTATATATCCATACCTTGACCCCCTCGTTGTAGCTGTCCACGGGGCACAAACTGGATAGGTTGGTCAGGTGAGCAGGAGCTCCAGGGCGGGGGGGCTTCTTAGGAGGAGCCACATGTTCTGAAACAGAGATGTTTGTTAGTGTTACACACATGTAGGATGAAGTGATGCATGTAAACAAGTACTCACTCTGCTGGTGTGAGTAGTGGAAATCATATAAATGAACAATTTTGAGCATGGATAATTACAAAGTTAAATGTGGGTCTATTTGTAACTCTCTTGTAATGTGTTTTGTAACAAATAAATAATGACGTTTTTTAAATGACAATGGTATTCAAGAAGCTTTCATAATGCTGACAGGTAAAACAAAAACTACAATTTCATTTAAAAGCACTTGTGTTTTCCATTCAATGCTACATTAAACTTTTAATATTAAACATAAATAAAGTGATCTGTTTTTGAAATACGAGATAAATGAAGGTTGAGCTAATTTCATAAACGACTTAAATACTCCTTTAGTATAGTATATTAGCCGCAGTAAATTATAACTCTCTAAAAAAAAACGCACTTCAGTTCCATATCTGGTTTTACTGTTGATACTGCAAGTATTTTTGCTAGTAACAATTCTGAACCATTACTTGATTGATGGCCATTTAGTTTTGAAATGACTACAGAGTGTTATCACTTCTTTTAAATCAGCATGCTCTCATCCTCTCACCTGGTTTCCCTATAGGCTGGTAGATATGTTGGCTTCCACCCTGTGCAGAGACAAAAACACACAGGTAAGCTTTACATTGTCTTTCATCATTAAACGAGAGACCGGTCTTTTAATAAGAGAATTAACCTGCAGAAAAAGTTTATATTTTACGATTTCACAAGTTATGGCATATTAACACTTTACAGTTGCAACGGATATAGTGTGAAGATGATAAGGTCAATGCCGGGAATGCCTTTAAGAAAGTATATTCCCAATTTACAGTGAAATGGGACTGAGCAGTGCCTCAGGCTTCAAAGTTCCCATGAGTCCTCTGTGGTCATGTGGTTGGGGTGTAGGCAGTACCCTCTGTGGCAGAAATACTTTCTGTCCCAGCCTCTGTTCCCTCTGTCTGTCTGAATGAATACATTTCCTCTGCCTCCCTCTTACACAATTACATTCTTTAACTTTCACAACTTCCATACAAACTGACACTCTTTCCCTCCTCCCATTCTATGCTCCTTTCCCATTTTGGTTCCCTTATTTTAAAGTAGTGAGCCACCGATTCCCAATGTATAAATAAACAGAGACTGACCGGTGCTTGCAGAATGCCGTCCTCTCTTTCGATGCTGCCTCTGCTGTTTCTGGATTCTGCCTTCTGGAAGGAAGTCACAAAAATACAAAAACCCATAACTAAGCATGTGTTTTGGAGCAAATGTTCATTACTGTGAAAGTTGATCCCTGAGAGAAAATTAAGCAAAATAAATAAATTAACATATTTCAAATTGTACTCCTGTCTACTTTTTATAGGCAAGGCAAGTGTATTTGTATAGCACCTTTCAACACAAGGCAATTCAAAGTGCTTTACAAAAATGAAAGACATTAAGAGCATTAAGATACATATTATAAAAGAATCACTGTAACCAAAAGCATGGAGCAATTACAAACACTATCCGTAAACAATGCGACAGCCACCTGCAGAAAACAGAAATATAAAGTCCATGCAAAGCAGCCGTTTTCATCCTTTCCTAAACAAATACCACTTTTCAAAAGAAAATACATTAATAATAAACCACGAAAATGATTTTGCCCATTTTAAATTTGCGCAATGACTAAGTTACAGACACATAACTAGGTTGTTTTCCATCTATACATCATCATCATATCATCATCAGCAGCAGCAGACCCTGACAACCTATCCAAAAAGTTACATTTGCACCGCTAAAACTCCAGCATGACTCCAACTCTCTCTCTGTTTCAGTACCGTTTTGGTGAAGCACGCCTTGAAGAGATGCATCCTGGGAGAATAGAGGCTGAAGTAGACAGAAAGAGGAGAGCAGAGAGTGGAGGCCATTGAAAGAATGGCAGAGATAGGGGCAGAAAGTACGAGAGAGAGAGATAGATGCAAGTTAAGAGAAACTTAAGAGATGGAAAGAGAAAGACGCAGGAGAGAAGTCATGAGCGGAAGGGCAGAGACACAGAGAGAG